AAAATTTAAATTTACAAATTTAAAAGAAGAAAAGGAAAATAAAAAGAAACAGAAAATGGGAGATAAAAGAACGAGGAAAAATAAAAAATAGAAACCGAAAAGAAAAAGAAAAAAAATCGTATTTTTTTCAATTACTGAACAATATTCTTTGAAAACATGAACATATCAAAATTTGAAAATGAGAACATTTCTCAGGAAAATTTGAAATTACTGAACATTTTTAAAGCATGAAATTTTTTTCATTGTGAACAAAATTTGAAAACCATAACATTTATTTAAATTCCGCATAGACTTTTCGAAACACAAACCTTTTTTTTTTTAAATGTGAACACAATTTGAAAACGAGATTTTTTTTATAATTGGGAGCAAATTTTTAAAAATAAGAACATGTTATGAAATACTGAATAAAAGGAAACATAAAAAGAAAAAACGAAAGAGCGAAGAAAAAAAATGAAAACAGAAAAAGAAAAGAAAACTAAAAATTAAAAAGAAAAAGAAACAAAAAGGGAAAAGGGGGAATTGGAAAAACCGGTTCAGTACCCTTCTAGAAGGTTCTGAAAACCAGAAAAAACTGGCTGGGAACCATCTTTTTTTTAGTAACAAGCTGGGAACCGGGAGCTCCTAGTTAGCGCTACAAGCGCACAGCTGCTGGCGGTCACCGGAGACGCATAGTGGACCGGCCCAGAAAACTGCTAAAAGAGCAAACATGAAAAAATGGTAGTGCCCAAACAACAAAACGGAGAGCCGAGAATCGCAGGCAGGACACCAAGGACAACGGCGCGACATGACAAACACTGTGCTGGCATCCCTTCGTTGTTTACTAGCAGGAAATATTTCTATTTGTCCAAGTACAAGTGATTAAAAAAACGTATATTTCAATAGAAAAACTCCTCCTAGTTCGAACATTAGTTGCTTCTCAAAAAAAAAAACTCAGGTATCAGTTGAACATTGAACCTTTGACCTATCATAGTTGACATCATTGACTTTTCAAAAATTGAAAAAAGTTCACCGCTTTTCAAAAAAAAAATCAGAAATTGGAAAAAAGTACATAAATTTTAAAAATAGAAAGATGGACCGTCTTGGAAAAAGAGTTCATCAATATCTGGAAAAAAGCACAAATTTTAAAAATGTCAATTTTGAAGAAAAAAGGTTCATCATAATTTGAAAAAAAATCACAGATTTGAAAAGTTCATCGTATTTTTGGAAAAAGCTCATTGATTTTAAAAAAAGTCATTGATTTTGAGAAACGTTCATCGATGTTTAAAAAAGTTAACCATAACATGGAAAAAAGTTCATTGAATTTCGATAAAAGTTCATCCATTTTGAAAAAAGTTCAGGGAATTTGAAAAGAGTTCATCGAACTTGAAAAACTTTCAATGATTTTGAAAAAAGTTCATCAAATTTCAAAAAAGTTCATCAACTTTGGAAAAAGTTCATTGAATTTGAAAATAGTTCAATGATTTTGAAAAGAGTTCATCAAATTTGAAGAGTTCATCAATTTTGAAAAAAACCATCGGTTTTTCTAGAAAACACAAAACACAAAATTGTTTTTGAAAAACACGCATTTAAATGAACAAAAAATGAAAAAAACAAGAAAACGAAAACCTGAATAAAACGGCACCGAAAAATGACCAAAGAATTGAAATACCCCTGTTTGGAAAGCTTCTCGAAGAGGACAATAAAAACATGGAAAGAAGTTTCGAAGCTCAAGTCGTTGCATGGCGTAGTGGTTCCGGTTGCTTGAGTAGAAGCAGCGGGTCGTGCGTTCGAATTCTCGCTGGCTCACCTTTTTTAATATTGTAAACAGAAAGAGAAAAACGGATACACGCGGGCCGGTGTAACATCCCAAAATTCTAAATTTTGAAATGTTAATATTTAAATATAATTTATTAAAATTTGCTTGTAGTGCTTATTGTTAGTTAATTTTGACTAGGATTTGGAGCTTTTGGAATTTCAACTTTTATTAAAGAGAGGGAATAAAATGACTTTCCCAATTATTCATTTTCATCTTATTTTGGGTTGGAGAATATTCATACTATTTCCAATTTAAATATGAGAGAGGATGACATGACTTCCTCAAGGAGTAATATTGAGCTGGCTCACCTTTTTTAATATTGTAAACAGAAAGAAAAAAACGGATACATGCGGGCCGGTGTAACATCCCAAAATTCTAAATTTTGAAATGTTAATTATTTAAATATAATTTATTAAAATTTGATTGTAGTGCTTATTGTT